ATCTTCTCCTCTATCTTGCTGCCTAAAATGCAGATCCTGTCGTCTTAGACCTGAGAAGAAGGGCCGTGGTCTGGGGCTGGGGGAGCAGCGAGATGGAGGGAGTGTGACTCCTTGCGGACTTAGGGGTCAAGCCTCCTTTCAGCTCTGGACTGCACACCAAACAGCTTTTATCTTATTTAAGCCATTGTTATTTTGGCATTTTGCCACTCACGGTTAAACCTAATGCTACTGATACAAAAGTATCACTGCAAAGTTATCCTGGCTGTACTTCTTCCAGACAGAAGGGCTATCTTATGGAATTTACACACAGGTGCAAAGTTCTGTTTTTTTATACTCCCATCATTATAACATAGCAGAAAGCCCTTTATAGAATACTTATCCCTTGGCACGTCAAAATCTCATGCAGGGAGCCTATAACTACGGGGTCAGAAGCCAGAGCAAAAGATTGGCAACAAACAAAGGGCATTAAAAGACAGTGATCGTTAGGACCCTACTCAACATGGGTGTCAATCCTTAGGAACAGTTGGATTGAGACTGAGGTGACGGTAAGTGGAAGCACGTGGCTGGCATACAGAGTATCAGGTAAAAGGAATCTGTAGAAAATGTTTTAAAAAGCAGATCTTGAAAAATTATTTATTAATTAATTTAGATTTTTTAAATGCAAGCAAAACATGTAGTCAGGAGGAAAAGACAGTGTTATGCCATGGCAGCTGGGAATACACAAATTTTGCTCATTAAATAAATTAATGCAAGTAAGTGTCTAACACAGCGCTTGGAGTACCGTGCCCAGTATATGTTAGCTGTTACATGATATTATGTTATTATATTACAGTAGAAGAATTAAGCCTATTAACAAATTGTCTGAATGACTCACTGAATAAAGTGAAGTCTCTCTTTTAACTTATTTTGTCATGGTTTTGTTCCCCGATAATGTTTAGGTTGACTACGTTATACATGAATAATAAAAGTATTAGTAGCTATGTTTCATTGAGCATCTACTATGTAAGAGATGTTTTACACACACTATTGCATTTCCTTCTTACAGTAGTCCTGAGAGATGACATAAGTCATTTACCAGATGAAGAAACTGGGATTCAGGGAGGTTACATGGCTTAGTACCTAACTTAAGATCACATTGTAGGTGGCATTGAACCCAGGTGTGTTAATTCAAAACCCATGCTCTTTCCCTAATACCAATTCTTACTCTTTCCTTGGTAGTAAGGTATGTGTCAAGTTTCATTTGTGGTTCACTTTGGACTATTGAAACAAAATGGTGGATCAGAATTTTTCCATAGTCATGTTATTTTTAACAGATTTTAAATCAGTGAAGATACAGTACTATACGATTGCACGAGAGAAGGAATAAATCAGCAGTCATAACATGCGGAATATGAGAAAGAAAACAAAATGTAAATTAGTAACATAGATAGGACCTAGAAACTCAATTCTGACACTGTCTACCTGAGTTAGTGGCTCAGTCCCACAAGACTGCTGCCCCACTGCAGATGTCAGTCACACGTCAGGTTGTCACCAGTGCTCTGACCAATCGACTATAAATCAGAGGTTCCCACCGCCCCTTTTCAGGTTTGATTAATTTGCTAGAGTGGCTCACAGAACTCAGGGAAGCTCATAGTTTACCAGTTTATTAAAGGATATGATAAAGGATACAAGAGAACAGCCAGATGAAGCGATACATAGGGCAAGGTCTGGGAGGGTACTGAGCTCAGGAGCTTCTGTCCCCGTGGAGTTGTGGTGCATCACCCTCCTAGTGGGTGGATGTGTTCACCCACCTGGAAGCTCTCCAAACCTCCCACTATTGGGATTTTATGGAGGCTTCCTCACGTAGGCATGAGCAATTATTAACTGCATTTCCAGTCCCTCTAGCCTCTCTAGAAAAGTTGGGGGCAGGGAGGTGGGGGAATCAGGGCTGAAAATTCCAAGCTCCTGATTACGGCTTGGTCTTTCTGGTGATGTCCCCACCCAGGAGCCATCCAGGAGGCTACCTATTAGAACAAACTATGCTCCTAGCACTCTTATCGCTTAGGAGATTACAAGGGCTTTAGGAGCTCTGCGCCAGACCCATATATATATATTTATATATATATTTTTTCTATTATCTCACATAGGCTGTGCAAGGACTTTGGCTTTTACCCTGAGAGAGTTGAAAAACCATTGGAGGAGGTTCCTTTAAAAACGAAAAATAGAGCTACCATATGACCCAGCAATCCCACTACTGGTCATATACCCTGAGAAAACCGTAACTCAAAAGGAGTCATGTACCACAATGTTCACTGCAGCGCTATTTACAATAGCTAGGACACAGAAGCAACCTAAGTGTCCATCGACAGATGAATTGGTAAAGAAGATGTGGCACATATATACAATGGAATATTACTCAGCCATAAAAAAATGAAATTGAGTTATTTGTAGTGAGGTGGATGGACCTAGAGACCGTCATACACAGTGAAGTAAGTCAGAAAGAGAAAAACAAATACCATATGCTAACATGTATATATGGAATCTAAAAAAAAAAAGAAAATGGTTCTGAAGAACCTAGGGGCAGGACAGGAATAAAGACACAGACATAGAGAATGGACCTGAGGACACGGGCAAGGGTAAGGGTAAGCTGGGATGAAGTGAGAGAGTGTCATGGACATATATACACTACCAAATGTAAAATAGATAGCTAGTGGGAAGCAGCCACAAAGCAAAGGGAGATCAGCTTGGTGCTTTGTGTCCACCTAGAGGGGTGGGATAGGGAGGGTGGGAGGGAGACGCAAGAGGGAGGAGATATGGGGATATATGTTTATGTATAGCTGGTTCACTTTGTGATACAGCAGAAACTAACACACCATTGTAAAGCAGTTTTACTCTAATAAAAATGTTAAAAAAAGAAAAACTATTGGAGGTTTTGTTTTTTTTTACATCTTTATTGGAGTATAATTGCTTTACACATTGGAGGGTTTTGAACAGAGACATGATCTGATAGATGTTGGAAAAGGATCACTCTGGCTTCTGTGTTGTGAATAGACGGTATGGAGGCAAGTTAGTTTATTGCAATAATCCAGGTGAGACATAAAGAGGGCTTGACACAGGGTAAGTGTAGCAGATTGATGAGGAATGGTTGAATTCTGGATATATTTCAAAGGTGGAGCCAAGAGGGCTTCCTGAGTGATTGGATGTAGATTGTAGGAGCAAGAGAGGAACCAACGTTGACTTGGCTTCCCAGAGGCTGCTCTTATTGATGTGCAGGGGGAGCTCTCTTTTTATCACCTTCCATCTAAGCGACCTGGCAGATTCACCTCTCTGCCAGTCTCCTGCAAAACACACTGCCTGATGCACAAGACATTTGATCTTCACGACCAACAGGCTACTCTCTGGAACACCCCTCCATCACAATCCCCAACTCCCATTCCCATCAACTGAGGTGTATGTTTACTTGGAGTGGTTGGCTTCTTTCTAAAACTGTATATTCCGATTGTACTTTTAATAATAGATTAAACACAATGTAAAATGAGTTTTAAAACAGAGAATTGAAGACTTCAGAAAATAACGATGAGTCTTAAAAATTTACCGAGTATGAGACAATTGTAAAAATGGAGAGAAAAAATTTAAATCCAGAACGATTATGTTCTCAGATTACATGGCAAATATTTAAAAATTCTTCCTCTAAAGAAATCAGAAACAGAGATCATACTCCCATGGGTGTGGTTTATGCAAGAATAACAGTGCAGACCGATCAGCACACACATGCTTAAGGAAGGGCCTTAGCTTTCCGGCCAAGATTGACAATGGATGTGTATAATAGATGTTCACAGAATATACTGGATTCTCTGTTCTATCCAATTTCCCCCCCAATAAATTGACCAACTTCTTGTTCAGATCACACTGAAGATGACTTTTCACTGCATGTTATTGATCAGTTACATTCCAAAAATGTTCATGTGGACAACAAATGCTTTTTCTTGAACCTTATTCTATTTCTCCATTCTGATGACTATCATGCAGCAGGACTAGTTTCTGGGTTTTGGTTTTTAATGTGTTTTGTGAAGAATGAACTCACTTTGACTTAAAAATCAACCTTTAAAATTAGACTGTTAGTGGTTAAGAATAAACTGCTTGAGGACCCACAATCACAAAGCACGTGCAGACTTTAAAAACTATAACCCTGTCACTAAATAAGTCATTGAATCTGCTGTGTGCAATGAAATACGATTAAAAAGAGTTTGATTTACTTTCATTTGTTTGTAATTGTAGAAAAACAGGATGCTCCAGAAAATATCCTTTGGCCCCCAGAGGGCGCAAGGCCGAAAGAAGTCAGAGGTGAGAGTTTAATCCCTCCAGATGGTGGCGCTACCTCCTCACCAGGGCTGCTAAACAGGATGGGAAAAGTGGTCCCACCCACCTCAGAGGACTTTCAACATTGGATTCTAGTAGTCCAAGGACTGTATATATTTAACTCTACCTCTGGTTTTTGAAGTGCAGTAAATATGCAAAAATTACAGAAACCTCTTTACCCTATCCCCTTTTGTCTTACCAACAGAAATGGAGTGTGTATGTGAGAGTATTAGAGAGAATTATTAGAGACAGGATTAGAGAGAATTTGAATGAGAGGGCACATGAGATTATGAATTTGAGAGAGAATATTAGAATGTGTGTGTGAGTATGAGAGGGTATGTGAGTAGAAAGGAGCCCACAGTGCTCCAGGCTTTAATTCTTCTAAGAAACATAATACTGTTGAAAGTACATAACATGGCTAAATTCACAGTTCTAAGTGTTTTGCCAAAGGCTAAAGCTGCAGAGTTTTCCTCCAGAAGGGAAACAAAACTAAGCTCAACCCCCTCTTGGCTCTCCCTAATACTTCAGTGACATTAACTTATCCCTTAGATGTTTAGAAGAGGTTTACTAATTGAGCAGGAATTTTTCCTGTCTTCAATATTTTATTGAAGTGTTTCAAGCAATATTAATAGCACAAAATCCACTATTAAGAATCTTGCACATTTAACTGCGGCATGAATATCAGTCATTTATTGACATTAACATTATGAACACATAATGGAAAAATGCTCCTCAAAAGAGGAAGGTGAACTTTGACTGTCGATAGGACAAAGCTGTCTTCAAAAGATAGAGAGGTGGAAACTAGGTTCACAGCTGGGTTTCGAGTCCCTGAGGATGGAGCTCGTCTATGTATGTGCATCCACAGGCGCAAGGTGTCGGAGGAGGAGGCTCAGGAATGTCTCCAGCTGCTTCTTTGATCTGTAAGCGATCAGTCCTCCCTTGTTGGCCCACTGGTCCACTCCAGCAGCGCCTCTGTTTCCCACGTGGTACACCAACTGTGGCAAGTCAAGCCCCGAGTTGGGGTTTCTTTCCAAGCACTCTTTTAAGTCCACCATTCCCCCACCCATGGCCCTGAGGATGGCGTGGGCAGCACAAGAGTCCCACTTGAACGTGGTATCTTCTGAGAAGATGTAAATGTCAACAAGGCCGAGGACAACACAGAGGCTCTTGTAACCAGCCCCAGCTGCCCGGAATATGCGCTCTCCACACACACGTGACAGTGCGGCCTTGATGGTCTCCTTTTCACTGGTACTAATGACAGCTGAGAACGGGTGGGAGTATTCCGCCTCAGAGCTGGGGTTTTGGGTCACTTGGCTCTGCGTTTCACTGCTGTTTCTTGTAGAGACGGGAGGCAGAAATGAATGGATATTGGTCCCCATGTAAGAAAGGCCCCAGTAGCACTGTCCTTTCCACCTGTGGAAGAGAACATTCAGTTTGTGGCCGTAGGTTATCCCATTCGTTTTTCATTGCTCATACGGCTTCCCAACTTGATGATATGAAAAATATATAACATAATGGGTCTCAAGGTCCTTAAGCTTAGAAATGGATACCAAGTAGCTAATTCATTTCTAAAAGTTACTCCCGGGCTTCCCTGGTGGCGCGGTGGTTGAGAGTCCGCCTGCCAATGCAGGGGACATGGGTTCGTGCCCTGGTCCAGGAAGATCCCACATGCTGCAGAGCGGCTGGGCCCATGAGCCATGGCCACTGAGCCTGCGCGTCCGGAGCCTGTGCTCCGCAACGGGAGAGGCCACAACAGTGAGAGGCCCGCGTACCGCAAAAAAAAAAAAAAAAGTTACTCCCTGTGCGTGTTGCTGCCTGTGCTGTTGCAGGTTAGGAAGGCTTTCAGTTTTTCTGTATTATCACACCCATCTAGGACAATGCTAAAATATTTGCTCTGTTCCTGGAGGCCAGAAATCCCGCAAAGTTTCACTGCCACTTTTGGCATTTGAAGTTTAATGGGGGAAAGATGAACAGATAAATAATCTTTTCAATCTGCAAATCTTTCACAATCCTTAAGTTTTTCTTCAGCTGGTAACGCCTTTTCATTCTCTAATTCACTAGCTCCACTTTGGTTTTAACACCAAGAAAGATGGACTCATTATTTTTGGCAACAACAAAAATAGCACCTATCATTTCTCAATGTTTAACTTACTATATATGCTGGATAGTTTATTTACAGAGATGGAAACAGGCTTAGAGAATGTAAGTGTAAGAATGTAAATCAGTGATAGAATCTGCATTCAAACCCAGGAAGTCTCACTCTAGGATCTGTGCTACTAACTACTCTGTCAACCATTCCTAGGTCACGATTATGCCAGCATCCAGAGTCCCACTTATTTTTAACTTCTTAACCACCCTTTAAAGACAACAAACACTTTCAGTTTGGAAGAAGGCAGGGTTAGAAGAAAACTATCAAAATTCCATAGGTGTAGTTTATGACTATTAAAGAACAAACAATTCTTAGTTGCTTGAAGCAAGCCAAAGTTTAATACAAATATGTAGTTCTAGGACTTCCCTGGTGGCGCAGTGGTTAAGAATCCGCCTGCCAGTGCGGGGGACACGGGTTTGAACCCTGGTCCTGGAAGATCCCACATGCCGCGGAGCAACTAAGCCTGTGCGCCACAACTACTGAGCCTGCGTACCACAACTACTGAGCCCACGTGCCACAACTGCTGAGCCTGCGTGCTGCAACCACCGAAGCCTGTGCGCCTAGAGCCCGCGCGCCTAGAGCCCGTGCTCCGCAACAAGAGAAGCCACCGCAATGAGAAGCCCGCTCACTGCAACCAGAGAAAGCCTGTGCGCAGCAACGAAGACCCAACGCAGCCAAAAAAATAATAATAAAAAACAAATAAATTTATAAAAAAATATGCAGTTCTATACAAGTGGAAAAAAATATTATCTATTTCAATAAAATACTGAAATCACAGGAGAAAAGCTGCTTCTTCTTGGCCTCTGCCATGCCCTGGAGCCCCGCAAGCATGGGCCATGGATCAGAGCAACTCTGCCCTGCATAGGAGTTCAGGGGAGCCTGAGGAGGGAAGAGGCAGAAAAGGAAGCGATGCTGGCAGTTCTACTGGGAGAGCACCCCAGAGCCAGGTCCTAACCCTGGCTGTACCTACTCAGCTTTTCATTAGATCATCGTCACATTTTGCTGCGAGACCCAGGGCTGAGAGTAAAAAGAACATTAATTCAAACATGCAGATTTTTAGTAGGAATACCCAATCTACTGAGTCATGGGAATGTCACGCGGAGAGATCATCTTGACAATAAGCAAAGCTGAGGTTGTAAATTCTAAAAACCATAATATACCAAAAATTTTCATCTTTTACCTGAGGGTGTTTAGGTCTTGTGATACAAAAGGTTGGTTGATGACTCCCATCAGGGGCACCCCTGTCTGTATGTCATAGACACCAATTAAAATAGTGACACACTGAAGTCCACTGGGGAAGATTCCTTGGTTGGATTTAATGTCAGCAGAACCTTTTATATACTGATAAGTTGAATCTGAAAAATGAAGCAACATTTGTTAGGATTATTTGAAATGATTATTTAGAAGACGACGATGAATACATCTACAAACCCTGTACTATATCGTTTCTCTCTTCTAATGTGGTAACTGCTATGGTCTGAATGTTTATGTCTCCCCAAAATTCTTACCCACAAATGATGGTATTAGTAAGTGGGGCCTTTGGAAGGTACTTAAGTCCTCAGTGTGGAACCCTCATGAATGGAATTAGTGTCTTACAAAAGAGGCTCCAGAGAGATCTTTAGTCTCTTCCAGAATGTGAGGACACAGTGAAAAGGTACCAATTATGAATCAGGAAGAAGGACCTCACCTAATCATGCTGGCACCTTGAGATTGGACTTCCCAGCCTCTGGAACTGTGAGAAATAAATTTCTGTTGTTTAAAAGCTACCTAGTCCATGGTATCCTGTTATAGCAGCCCAAACTGACCAAGATAGTAACCAATCAGTTTCTACCTTTGGGTGCCACTTACATTGAATTATTTTTCGACCTCTTGTACTTCACTTTTAAGCTGCTTGTGTTTCATTTTCCCAACTATATAGTCTTGGAGAGAAAGGACACGTCTATAGTTCCTATGGCAGCTAGCACAGCACCTTGCAAATAACAAGTACTCAAATATTCATCACATGTCAAAATCATTTAAAAGCTAATAGCTCAGGATAACCAAGGGGCTTCCTTAGAGCTCTTACTAATCAGAGGACAAGTCCAAGGTGGATGGGAAAGCCTCATTCCAGGAATCTGTCAGGGGTGGGATTACCTTTTTGTTTGTTTGTTTTTGTCCCTCAAATTAGGAGGAAGGAGACAATGATGGTAGTACAAGAGGAAGAAATTGATGGGAGTCCTGAGAAAAAGAAGCCAAGTAGCTAGGTTTCTTCTTAAAAGACTGTACATGCCAGCAGCTGACTGCCAACATCTAATGAGTTAATGCCCAGTTAAGGATGTGTCAGGCACAAGATCCAGAGAGCTAGCTAACAGAATCAATTCAGGATAGAACAAGAATACAAGGTTTCTGTCCCTCAAAAACCTTAACTGAGGCTGATTTACCTTCAGGCAATAAAAGATTCTGGAAAACATTCTTAGTTTGCATGTACAATCCATAGGCTGAATATGCTCTAATTCTCTGATGACTAAAGGCATTTCTATCATTATTAATGGGCTTGTAGGATGGGGAGGGTGGGGGGAGTCTGCCTGTTCAGCATGATTGGTCGCAGTTGTACTGGGTAGAATATGCCAGGAAGGTTAGGGGAAAAAGGGGGACTTCCGAAGATTAATACCTAGGGCATTATATTAATAGCATCATTGAGAGAGGCCTACACTTTTTAAACAATGAGCTACACGTTATGGTTCTACCATAATCATGACCACAAAATTCATGGTGAGGTTTACACAGGACTCACAAACCGACTGCTAAGAGTCACATTCAGCTGTGTTTTGCTTGGCCTGTATAGTGGTTTTGATTGTTTGCTTGTTTAACTGAATTAGTAGCCAGTGGTTAAATTGTGAGATCGCACATAAAAACCTGGATTTTGATTTTTTTTAAAAAATTTGATGAGCTGGACAGCATTCCCAGATGGCAATAATCCGCTGGTGCTGAATGCTCTTAAAATGGCACGTGTGCTCAGTTAGTTATAGCTGCTCTCACTTCATTCTTCTCTCATATTTAGCAGTCTGGCCCCTGAGGTCTTTCAAAAATGAGTTAATTCAGCTTTGTATATGTGCCTGTGTGTGTGTGGGTATGTGTGTACACACACACATATGTTATACATATATGTATATAACACACACCTCAGCTCTTTGTTTCTTTTTTTCTGGCTGCACCGCACAGCTTGTGGGATCTCAGTTCCCTGACCAGGGATTGATCCCGGGCCACGGCAGTGAAAGTCATTTATCATTTTAAAAATCCAAAACTTTTAAAATAAAACTCCTAGCAGAGTTAAACCATACCCTCAATTTTTATTTTTCTAACCCCCCCACCAAAAAAAAAAAAAAAAAAGGATTAATAATGAAAGCAAATAAACAAAAGCAAACACTCTCTCTACTTACCTATAGGATCCACCCAAACTCCCAAAGTGTCCTGTGGAATGTTGATCTCTATCGCATCCAGAGCTGGGTCACTAATGACAACGTCCTGATGTACAACCTTGGCTAACGCTTCAGATGCCAACTTGTTACCATTAAGGACTTTGTTGAGAAGATCTACTGTTTCTTCCTCTGTTGGACACAGTCTCATGATAATCTTTTCCCCTAGAGTAAAGACAAACTAAAGACCATTACATCTCAAGTTTCAGGGGAGAAAGAACAACAGAGGGGTGGGAAGAAACAAAAGCTGTGAGGGCACCTCAGACTAGGTGAGGGAAATATAGCCATACCAGTGTTTCCTAACCTGGCTGATTGCCAGAATCACCCAGTGGCCTTCATAAAGTCATAGCTGCTCAGTGGTCAGTCATACACCTAACAGTAAGGAATGAATTCCAGGTGTCAAAGGACCTACTCTCCAGAAAAATGTCCACATGGGCACGTGCACACAGTTTTTTGTATCTAGTTTAAGGGAGCTCATGGACCAGTTAAGAACCCTGAGTCCTTGATAACCAATCTTTTATATTTTTTGCCTTTTGCCTTTTAATATACTGTGGGTCACCCTATTCACATTTGAATATGTTATTGAAAAGAATGGAGTTCTTATCAGTACAAAGAAGGGCTTCTACCTCCCTAAATTGTTTATGCTCAGTAAAGTAACATAAGATGAAGTACATTAATCTTTAAATGTGGTAAAGCTGTAGGACTCTAAATGACATACATAGAATAGCTCTCTGTGAAACCACTGGAAATCAGCATGTAAGCAAAGCTGTTTCTGCAATTGAAATCCCAAGTTACCGAGTACAGGTGCTTTACCATCACTTTAAAGACACTTCTTAGACCCTTGCCTAATCTGGTTTCCAGCCCCCGCAAAAGTAAGAAAAGAGGCTGGCAAAAACAGGCAAGTTAAGAGCAACAGAAAGTCACAGCAATGCAGAATATAAATTTTTTAAAAATTAAGAAAACATGGCACTTTGGAGATTTTGTGGTATATAGACAAATACTCCTAGCTAACCTAGCCATTCCAAGAACAGCAGCATTTGCATCACCTGAGAACTTGTTAGAAATTCAGAACTGCAGTCCCCATCCCGGACCTACTGAGTTCTAACAAGATCCCCAGGTGATTCATGTGATCCTTAGAGTTTGGGAAGCACACTGTGAGTCTATTACAATGATGATTCTGAAACAGCAAGAAACAGTCAATTACATGTAGTTCAATTCAATTAAATGAGACTGTTAAAGTTGGGGAATAATAATGCTAATCACTGCCACTTGCTGAGCACCTACACTAGACTCAGTAAAAGTCATGGGATCATTCAAGGGAGCAAATCATATCACATTTCTCCTTTGCTTAAAATTTGCCACTGAATACCGATCATGCTCAGAGGAAAATCCAAACTCCTTCCTTTGAACTTCCACTGTCTCACCTCACCTCATCCACCAGCCCCTCCCCTTCACCATGGTTCTCTGTTAAACCCATTCTCTCCTTCAGTTCTAAGGAAAATGTACGTGGAATGCCTTTTTGCCCCTATAATTCTAGGTACATTATATATTAAAATAACTGTTTATGAAGTAGTCAAACAGGATTTTAAGTGTAGGATTTCTTACAGGTTAGTCACAGGTGTTTTTTTTAACATCCTTATTGGAGTATAATTGCTTTACAATGGTGTGTAATTTCTGCTGTATAACAAAGTGAATCAGCTATGTGTACACATATATCCCCATATCACCTCCCTCTTAAGCCTCCCTCCCACCCTCCCTATCCCACCCCTCTAGGTGGCCACAAAGCACCGAGCTGATCTCCCTGTGCTATGCAGCTGCTTCCCACTAGCTATCTATTTTACATTTGGTAGTGTATATATGTCAATGCTACTCTCTCACTTCATCCCAGCTTACCCTTCTCCCTCTCCATGTCCTCAAGTCCATTCTCTACAACTGTGTCTTTATTCCTGTACAGGTGGGTTTTTTAATCTTAAGTTTAAATGAGATTTTTCCTTCTTCTTACTGAGTGTCATAGAATTAAGTGCATTTTAATACACTGCCCATGAAGGAGACAAATTTTTCTCCAGAGTTAATCCAGAAATTAGTTTTCTTTGTAAACATGCCTCTAGATGTTTAACTATTTGTCACATGATCAGTGTTTAAAGTTCACTATTTTAATCTTCTACCATTAAACAAACAAAAACCAGTTTGTTTCTCTAAAAAGGATCAGCGATTTTGATATTTTCCTCTCTATCACAAGGGAACTGGTGGTCCATCAAACGAGAATTTGGTCCACAGGAAACTAATTAAATAAGAGTTAAAACTTGGTGGTAAAAGGAACCGGTTGTCCAACTCCCTTTACAGAGGTTCTGAGACCAGAGAAGTCATGAGGTGATTTCAGGGACAGGGCCTCCTCTACATTCTCAGCCAAGGTCTATGGACTCCCTAGGAGGTCCACAAATGGGTTTACTTGGACTTGAAATTGCCTGCAAAACTGTGTAGATGTGCATCTTTCTGGGGGCATCTGTAACTTCCATCAGATTCCCAAAGGGCCAGGCAACTTTCCCAAAGGTTAAATCATACGTTATTCAAATGCTACAGATTTATATCTAGAATGATACATGTGGACTTGCTAAATAATCCTAAGACACCACATCTCCCTATCGTAAATGGCATGATATTCTGAAGCACTGAATGAAGCTTAACATTCAAATATGTATTTACGTGAAAGGCCTCCAAACATCCATCTACTTCATGATGTAAGTTGAAAATAGAAATACCATATGATAATTAAGTTATAAAAATACATTAAGACATTTATACTTACCCAAATCATTTGTAAACTCATTGGATTCTTCTCCAAAAATTTTTTTCCCCAAGCCTGGAAACTGAATGATTCAGAGTATGACAAAAATACAACAATAAAGAAAAAAAATCCCACATTTATGTTCAATTCTGAACAGATTTTCATTTTATACTTCAAATTAAATAGCACAATTAGATCTGAAATTTACAATTCCAGAAATCAATCCAAGTATAACAATTATGAAAAGTGAAGTCAGCTTGGTTCAGTACTTAGTTTTCTAATATTTTCCTGCTCCTTTGCCCCTTTAGAAAGTCCAAATCATGGTAGAAGTCTGGTTTCCTTATGTTCTGTTGAGTCTGCAGAAGTACTTCTAGAAACTTCATCCTTCTAGTTAAGGGCCATAGAGCTAGAATGTTTGCAAAGGAGATGTTTTAACTGTTGCTCCTAAACAGGACCTAAGTAGCTTATACAAGTTAATGTTATTGACCAAGTACCTTAGATGATTATTTGAGACTGGATAGAAGGTATCAGAGGATAACATTTGATTTTGTTTTCATTTTCAGGTGTGTTTTCTGTACCTGCTGGAGGTATCATTAGCCATCAGGCTAGGAAGGTGATATAGCAAAAAAGGGGAAATATTTTATTTGCCAACAATTTATGTGCCAATATAGAATTAAAAAAAAAAAAAGCTAAATAGGAATTTTCTCTCATCTCTGTATGACCAGGAAGCTTTCAGACACATTTTGCTTCTGATTTTCTCTGCAGTAAAGATAATTTCTCTCAAAATATGTGCTGAATTATGATATGAGTATGGTTCTCAAGCAATAAAAGCAAGGAAATGCTTCAAATATTTGAGCTCAGTTATTCACAGATGGCCAGTAGCTTTAATAATGCCCACAACTACTTGTTATTTTTAACTCTTTTAAAGAACAATGCAAGTCGGGACTTCCCTGGTGGCGCAGTGGTTAAGAATCTGCCTGCCAGTGCAGGGGACATGGGTTCGAGCCCTGGTCCGGGAAGATCCTCAGGAGCCCTGCTCCGGGAAGATCCCACATGCCTCGGAGCAATGAAGCCCGTGTGCCACAACTACTGAGCCTGCACTCTAGAGCCCACGTGGCACAACTACTGAAGCCCGCGAGCCTAGAGCCTGTGCTCCGCAACAAGAGAAGCCACTGCAACGAGAAGCCCACGCACTGCAATGAAGAGTAGCCCCCGCTCACCGCAACTAGAGAAAAGCCCGTGCACAGCAACGAAGACTCAACACAGCCAAAAATAAATAAATTAAATTAAATTAAAAAAAAAAACAACAATGCAAATCAACACGGGCTGGCACTGAGCCGATTTATCAATTCATCCAGGGCTGAAGCTCCAGTCTCCCACAACCTGCCTAGAAACCCTTTCTGAGGCTACAGTATAGGAGAGTCATGAAACTATTTTATACAAGCCAAAAGTGAATATCATTTATGTGTTCATAAGTCCTGGCATATACTTCATGAATGAACAACTGTCTGAACTTGTTATAATGCTCTGGGGCAAATATTAGGCCACAGAACTTAACGTTGATACATTTCTAATCCAGTTGCTCAACCATCCCTTCCACCCAGCTCTTGATCAGTAACAAAAATAAATTTGCTTCCTTTTTAGTTTATTGGAGCCAGATATTATAGGACATGAAAAAGTACAGTTTGTAGAAATTTCAAGGGGTCATTTATTCTCTCTTCCTGCCTGTGGTCAAGAATTCACTTAAATGATTCTAAATGATTCCTAATATTTTGAGAATTTCATAGAAACAATTCTAATATTTTGTAGGGCTTTCCGACATAAAATTCTATCCTCCCAAACCTAAAAGAAAAGAAATTATTAGATTACCATATAAAAGGCAATATAGTATTGCAAAGAGCACAGACTCGGTCAGCCTGGGTTCAAAAACCAGCCCTGCCATTCAGTTGCTGTGCAACCTTAGGCAAGTTATTTAACCTCTCTGTGTCTCCCTTTTCTCATCCATTACAATGAAATAATTGTTCTTACCTCATAAAATTGTTATGATTAAATTAACATATTTAAAGTCCTTAGAACAGTACCTGGCTCATAGTAAGCATTTATAAGTGTCTGCTAATGTTATTGTTTGTTATTACTACTTATGAATATAATTTCTTTTCCCCAGTCAGCTTAAAAGACCTAGAATTACAATCATTGTTAGTTATAAACAATGTTTTCCTACTCAAATAAAGGGAGACTTTAAGTCTCCAGGACTCTATGAGCCCATAACTGAGGCAACCATTAGATAAGTGATTATGTCAAAAGGTGGGACTTAATATATCAAGTTAAAAAAAAGTTATAAAACAGTATGTTCTCATTTCTTTTGAAATAAATTGTGTGTGCCATGTACACACACAGAAGGAAAATATTCTAACAATATTTAGCAAAACAGCTGTGGTTTTCTCTAGTGGTAGGATTAAGAGGATTCTTATTTTTCTGTATTTAAAATTTTTTTCTGCAGCACACATTTTGGTAATATTGTAGTCAAAACAAGGGGAAAAACCCAAGTTGTTTATTAGAATCCAAGGTGTTAATCATGGGGGTAGGGGTGGCGAGGAGAAAGGATGCTATTCTATAGAGGGGAAAAACCACAGGGGCAAATATTTTGCAATTACATTGGCTGGGACCTTCTTACCTTGTTCTCCATATTCTGTTTTATAACTTCCTGTACCAGTACATCAGCCAGGGTCTTGAAATCAACTGCAAACTTCTTGTTCTTTTCTCCCTCTTTCTTTTCTTCTATCAGCAGCTGGAAGAGGGCTTCCTGTTGCCTGCACGCCCGGGCAATGTTGGCAGCTTTCTCAGAGACACAGAGCAGCTCCCGGAGGATACCTGACATTTCTGAACCTGGCTTTTCAGTTGCAGCGTCTGGTGGAATCGGCACCCACCCTCCAGGCCGTCAGCTGGAAAAGTAGAAGAATGTGAAAGAGAAAGCAGTTCAGAGAGTGATGTCAGGGTGCCTCGGCACTGCTAACAACCCATCTGGCAGTCAACCGGTCAGCATGGCTGAACAGCTACCATAGATCACAGTCACATCCTCCAGGTGGAAGACTAGATATCATCTAAAAATTGAAACTTATTTTTAAAGATCAAAAGATTTATAGTCTCAAATCCATTATGCAAAGAACTGAATTCTCAGTGAAAGAATTTGAATGAGAATCTACATTATATTTACAAAACCCTAGACCAATAGGCAGGTGGATACACGAGCACAATGTTAAATTAAATGAAAAGCCAAGTTCACGTAATGACCTTCGAATGAGCATACAAGCTTAGCAACAACATTATTAAAGTAGTGCTCTTTCTTTCACCCTTTCCCCCAAAGGAAGAAGGAAGAAGTGAAAGCCCGTTTATCCCATCAGTTTGGGGGCAACTTTCTAAAGTACCAAGCACACCAGCAAGCATGTTTGTGTCCTGCAGGACTCTGGGGTCACACTGGGCTAGCAATCCAGGTGATCTCCCAACCCCAATCACCTTTTTTTTTTTTTCTATTAAAAATGTCCCACTAGCTGTGCTGCTCTTCTAGCAAGTTTAAATAATAAAGTGAATTCAAACATGCAACTTGTTGGGACTTGAAAAGTTCTGGCCTCTAATAGGCATGCTACCACACCTTGACATACCTATCAGGTAATTAGGAGAGAAACATTTCTCAGTTCCAATAGTAGCTGCATTTTACTGAACGCTTTAATAATTCCTATCTCAGTATTGTGAGAATTATTGTGAGGATTATCAGCCCTGCTTTACAGTCAAGGAAACTGAAGCTTAGAGAAGTTAAGCAACTTGTTTAGGGTTACACAAGACTAACTGGCAGGGCTCACACAGAAGCTCATGCTCTTTATGGGAACATATGTATATGTATAACTGATTCACTTTGTTATAAAGCAGAAACTAACATACCATTGTAAAGCGATTATACTCCAATAAAGATGTAATAAATAAATAAAATAGATCTAAAAAATAAAATAAATAAAAGAAGTTCCTTTAAGGGACTCTAGGAGGCTGAGAATCAGTACAACAACGAAGATGTTGATGCAATGGGAGCTAATTGTGAATTGTCATAGCCGTTTTGTCTTAATCAGGTCTGCTTTAAAAAATATATGCTATTTTCTTAAGATTATGGGTCAACCACCCTAAGAAAATATGTCCAACCTCCATAGTAATAAAAGGAAAGTGAATAAAAACAATGAAACATCCTACTTCACTATTAGATGGACAAAACTGGTTTTAAAGTTAATTTTCATTCTTGCAGGTGTGGTGAAACAGGTGCTGATACTCCGCTAATGCGCATGCAAACAAGTGGGTTTCCACAGGGCAATTTGAGAAAAATGTATCAAGATCCTTAGAAATGTTATTACCTTTAGCCAGTAACTCCAGTCTGGCCCTATTTTGTGTTAAGTCACAGTTGTGTTAAAGTATTTCCACAGAAGAAGGATTAGTATTATTGACAGCAGCAAAAAGTTAAAAATAATCTTAAACGTTGGTGCAATGTAAGATAGACTACAATGTAGTTCTTAAAATAATATTTTTGAAGAATATTTAATAGGGATATATGTTAATGTTATAATATTAAATGTATATATAGTATCATAGTATGTTCCTAATTTATGTTTATACACACATGCGCTCTGTTTATACATATAGAGAGAGTTTGAAAGGCTAGTAGGTGATGTTTTAATGATAAACAGACATTTAATGGTAATTATCACTGGGTACTAGAATTGTGGAGGATTTTTTTCATTATGCTTTTCTATAATTTTCAAATATTCTACAATAAATATATACTGCTTTTCTAATAAGAAATTATATTTTAAAGTATCTTGGAACAATTAAGCACAAAGGACAAGAATTCCAATTCCTGGAGATAACTGTCCAAACAAAGTGGTACTGTAGTGACAACACAAATATCAGGTAGTAGAGATGATAGAGTTAAAAATTAAACAAAAACACCTGCCTACCTAAATGCCTTTTTCCCCCAAGGATTGAATAATATGTTAAAAAAATTCACTTTGGTTGACTTAAACCTCAAGAAAAACGGTTATACTAATACAGCTGAGGCACTTTGACTTAGAAACAATTTATGGTATCTGTATGCTCTAAATTATAAGTTATATATAATGTATACACACATGGATACATACATATCAGTAGAATACAGAAGCTCCAAGTGTATAAATTCAATAACTTTGATTATTTTGATATCTTGGTACATGTTATGAGGTTATTGTAAGTAAAGGAAAAAGAATCAATGAACTAACAGTACCTAAGCAGCTTTTTATCTTAAAAGTACCATGAAGATTTTAAGGAGTCCAGTTTGAAAACTTTCTAAATTAACAATACCAGTATTGTCTATTTTACTCAACTTTGTTAAAGTCAATTTTTTTTTTTTTTTTTTTTTTGGTAAAAGAAACACCGTACCACCACACCATTGGATAACCAAGAATCTCTCCCTATGACGCCCTCAGAACACTCAGGTGAATTACTCACACAGGCTACAATCTCCAGGCACCACCACCACCCTTCTCACACGGAAAACTCACCAACTTAGTCCTGATAAGTTTCTATACAGCTGCCCAGAGATCTGGAGTTTCTCACCTTTGAACCTGACCTTTATTTCCTCAATAATGACCATTCTCACTTCACCTGAGCACAGCAACTTGATCAATGGGGGAAAAAATAGCAGCTCTAAACTTTAGTCCTGTAATTAACAGGTGCACAGATTTTAAGAATTCATCATAACACAGTAAATCAGATTTTTCAGTTCCAAAGTTATCCCAGCACTCAACCTTAATCACCTTTTATTCTGAACCTAGAAAACACTACGGTGTCTTGTCAAGCTCCAGGTTGAACACGCAGTTTCAGCTTAGGACTAGGCTTTCTCCAGCCATCCTATAGAACCCAGAACTTCTTTAGCTCCAGGGTCCTAACCCCTTAAAAAAAATCTCTCACAGCTATCAACATGTACATGCAAGACTTTCTAACTAATTTGCATAGCTAGCCTGCTACTTTCTGGCTGAATGGACTATTTCCTCCAAATGAATGAGCCACGGTCCTCTGTGCTTCTCTCTGTAAGCTGCTTCCGTATCTCTTTCTCCATCTGTCCTCAATTCAATTCACTCAGCCAGGCCACAACACTCAAGGGCATAATGGACAATTTGCCCTCACTTTGAAGGACTCAACTTGAGAAAAACTGAGGGCTACATCCAATACAGAATTTCTTCGAGTTTATTAATAGCTTGTATTAACACTCATGGAAATTATCATTCAGATGATTTTTAAAAGCAAGTTTATATATGCGTTATTGGGCTTCCCTGGTGGCACAGTGGTTAAGAATCCGCCTGCCAATGCAGGGGACACGGGTTCGAGCCCTGGTCCGGGACGATCCCACATGCGGGGGAGCAACTAAGCCTGTGAGCCACAACTACTGAGCCTGCACTCTAAAGCCCATGCGCCACATCTACTGAAGCCCGTGTGCTCTAGATCCCGTGCTCCGCAATGAGAGAAGCCACAGCAATGAGAAGCCCACGCTCGCTGCGACTAGAGAAAGCCGTGCACAGCAGTGAAGATAAAACACAGCCAAAAATAATAATAAATATAAATAAATAAAATTAAAAAAAAATTTATATATGCGTTATTGACCTAAGTTAGCTTTATTTAAACATTTCAAATACTTTAAATGAAAATTATTATAGATTCATGATTAGTAAGTTATGACATTTACCATAATTTAATAGCTTTGAATATAGAAGAAATTCCTTTGGATTAGTATTTAATAGGTATTCTGGCAACCACGTGTTAGAATTACCTAAGGCGCCTATTAAAAAGACAGATTTCTGGGGCTCCATCCCAACTTAGTGAATCAGAATCGCTGGGGACAGGGTCCAGGAATCTGTAGTTTTGTCAGCCTCCTAGATGATGCTAAACACTGAGATTTAATAGCTACTGTTCTTTAGGCTGTTCATTCATCTTTAATACTATGCTGGTAATTTCAGGGGGGCTGGCACCTGGTGTTCAGATATCTTGGTGAAACCATGTGCTAACAGTTATTCATATGCAGAGAAAAAGCCCAAGTTAAAATAATAATCGCTAACATTTATTAGGTACTTACTATATGGCAGGCATCCTTCCAAGCACTTTACATATGTTAATTCGTTTAATTCTCACACAACCCTACGGAGAAGGTACTATTACCTCTATTTTACTGATAAAGAAACTGAGACACAGGAGGGTAAATAATTTGCCCAAAATCACACAGCTAGGAAGTGGCTGGGACAAGATTCAAGCCCAGGTGAAACAGCAGAAACCCAGTTTTATTGACTAGAGCACACTGTTAGCCAGTGCTCTAGCCAATAAAATCCTTTCATAAATTGTTAGCTGTTAACTAAGGGAAGAAATGAGCAATCACTGGATAAATAATCACAAGAATATTATTATTATAAGGTATATTATATAGCAAAAAGGAGAGAAACACACACACCTCCCTGATAGCTGTCAGTAGTTTGATTATTAAAAAATCACTATTTGATACTCACTTTCCTTCTGCTCTCAGGAAAACCTTTCCCCTAGCTGATCCTCAGTCTCAGTGTAAACCATCTTTGCTGGATAATAAAACCTCATCTATGTTCTACTGATATCTCTCTTAACTGGCTGTCTTGGCATGAGGGGCGGGGAGGGGGTCAGCTCATGCCGAATACATAATTCCTCTTGTATTTGTTTGCTAGGGCTGCCATAACTAAGTACCACAGTCTGGGTGCCTTAAACAACAAATTTATTTTCTCACAGTTCTGCAGACTGGAAGTCCAAGACCAAGGTGTCAGCAGGGTTTGTTTCTCCTTGGCTTGCAGACAGACTTTCCTCTGTGGATGAGCATCCCTGGGAGTCTCTCCCTCTTTTATAAAGACTCCAT